AAAAAAAAACAGAAATGCAGATGGAGAGTGCGAAAAGGAATATGCAGGAAGACCGACCGTAGTTCAAATTCAGATCTTTAACAGCGGTTAGTACTTGTCAAAAAAATGGTTTATTTGAGGAAGATAAAATAACAAAATGAATTTTCAAAATGCAAGGCAGTCTCCAGTTTTGGCAAAAGACGAAATACAATAACAAGTTGTCGTCACTATCCTAGAAGACCGTACATTTTCATGTCGCATGTAGTTAATAAGTCATTTCGTCTTGCTTTTTAATGTTTCTGTAAAACATATTGAAAACCACTTTTTCTTTCATTTTCGTAGTTGAGTATCTTGGACACCTTATATGATTCAGAAATAAGCAGCAAAAAAAGGGGGTTTTATTATTTACTTTCATAAGAAACAAAACTTAGAAACGTTTTTACTAGCAGCTGAATGTCACTGGAACTTCATTTTTAAAAAGAAAGAAACCAAGAGAAAGCTCATTTCAAAATTCTTTTTGAAGAAATTTCATGAGCATTTTGTAGAGTTTTATAGAAACCTGCGTTTCTAAAAGCTGTATTATTTTCCACACAATTAATATTTTCCAAGAGAAAAGTGTTAAAAGTAACACGGGTCCACAAACAAATTAAAAGCAATTTTTGCAACTGTTGCAAAGACGTTTACAACACCGTTATTTTTCAAGCTGCCATCTGCTTTAGAAAGCTATTTGGGAAAGCTGACACTTCTTAATTGACTTTTACGCACTCATTTTGTTTCAGTTGCGAAGCTGTTACCTAACTTTCACAAAAGAAGAGGCAAAAGACAGTATCAGCAAAAACACTGGTAAAGTAAAGGTTGTCAAAAAACTAGGGTGAAACAGAATGTTGACTAATATTAGACTAAAACAAGTTTCTATAAATGAAAATCTAACTAAACAATGATTCAGAACAGTGAATAAAACAAATTTGACCTGCCCTAATTCATCAGTTAAGGCTGAAGTATTTGCTTTGGCAGGAGTGTTTGAATATTCATCATACATTTCTGAATCCTGTAAGAGATATGAGGTTGTTCGTAAAGTACGAATGCTGCTGTGGACTGGCGGTAAGCAGTTTGAAAGTAAAAAATAATAAATGCAAAAGCATACGCACATTATTAATGTAGTAAGCCTGAATATAACGAATGATCTTGAGCGTGTGTAGCAACGATATGGGCACCAAATTGCAGTATAGAAGAAAGAACTCGGCGCAGTTTAAAAGAAATGAGAATTCTGACTCTAAAACAACGGCATATAAGCTGGTAGTCACACTGCGTGCGGTAAACAAAAGCAGAAACTTTTTTAGTCGAATTTAAATTTACTAAAAAGGCGAAAATTTAGAACAATAACATTTTGCTAATTTGAGGATTTCTCCAAAACCTAAATTTTTAAAGTGTAGAGCAAATGTAGCGCAAAGGTTTATTAACAGTTTTTACATTCTCGTTTAATTTTTTTCACAAGCAAATTTTTACCAGAGACTTTGATTTAAAATATCAACATCATCCAACTCTCCAAATTTTGAACAATCAAAAATTTCCCTACTCAACCAAAGCATCGCTCATTTTCAAGTCCCATAACTTGATGCCCTAGCTATAACAACAATATTTATTCAGTAAACCAAGTAAAAGTAGAATGACGGTAGCAAGTAAAAGCTATTCATTTCAAAAAGGGGATTTAGAGAATTGCCAAGTAAATCATTCATTAAAAGATTTTTTCCCAAAGTTTGCTGATGAAACAAACCACATTGTTTGGAAAACATTCTTAACACTGTGCTTCACTTACTCTCTAGCTGACAGAGCAGACAAAAGTTAAATGATTAGTTTTAAAATTGTTTTGTTCGAACTGTGTATTTGAAAATAAGTAATTTGTCATTTGGTTACTGCAATGGCTGAACTGTTTATTCAAAGAAGCTCAGTCCTAAAGTATAATTTGCTGACATCTTTCTGATATCTATTTATCACAAAACCTTTAAACTTTTTGAACAATCAAGTTGTGTATCACTCGCTATAGTCAGTTTTACACAATAATAGGTCATAATTAATACATAGGCAATGACTATTTTAAATACGAAACTTAAGACATGAAAACCTTTTTTTCCAATTCCCCCCACAACTAAGCGCCAGTTAGGCACTCTAAGGAACCACTGTTCAATTGAATTACCCCTATTGAACTTACTACTACGAAGAAGAAAACAAAAATGGTAGAACGAAGCACGTAACATGTTTAAATGTTTTGTATCAAGCTAAGGTTTCACTTTTTGCATTAGGTCAGGTATGTCAACCGTCCTGCTTACGAGTGTAACGTCGTTGAGAGTAAACGTTTTCTTTCTGTTTGATTGCTCAATTCAGAAAATATTTGTTGCACTCTTCTCGGAGAAAGTGGGTAACCGTCGAGAGGAAAAGTGGACAAGATTTTACAGTTAACTAATACACTTCTCAATTATTTTTATCTTTCCAGTGCACTACCGCTGCATCTTGACAGGTGTGCTATGCTTTACTCACAGTATTCTTTTCGAGTGATATTATAACAAATTAGGCACAAATGAAAACTCTGTGGTAATGGTCACTTCTTACATAATCAAATACAGCGAAAGTAGTTAACTTAATACAGTTATTTGAAAGCAAAGTATTTTACAAAAAAAGTTTCAAAATTATGTACCTGTCGTATTCCTTTGATTTTTTTTCTTTTTAGAACTGAAACACCGTAGAGAGAGAAAAGCAGCACTTTTGCTTTCAAAGGTTTACTAAATATTTTTCACTTTATAACTCATTAATGATGAAAATATTGATAAAGTTTACAAACCTGAGGAAGGAAGATAGTAAGTATTCGTTAGAAGCCAAGCTTTGTAGACGTGCGCAAAAGTTGCGCTGACTAAGGAGAGTAACAGTTGTAACAAGATAAGAAAAAGGATGTTTTTTTTCATCGTTTTTTCTACCTTTGACCTTAAATTAACACATGTATAGCAAATTTATGTGAGGTAATACAAAACATTATAGAGAAATGCTACAGAACACAAGGTAAAAGTATACCGTTTAAACGATGCAGCTTTGAAATTCATTAACTGTGTTGTCTCGTG